TTTCGCATGTTGTTTTGCTGACACTTGACTTCTTTTGACCACTTGACCAAACCAGCTTAAATAGAGTGTGGCTGTTGTCAACATCGAAATCCTCCTTAATATCCTGTGGCTTCGCAATCCATTCGCATTCTCTGTCATTCTCCAAGCTCCTGAGTAGCCGTTATTTGAGGGACCCGCGTGAGCCGTCACAGTCGCTAGTTGCTGGTGTGACTTTTCTGGCAGCAAAAAGATCTGCTGATCTCGATCATACTCAGTGTCCATTAATTCGAGTCAGATGGCTTGGAAAAGCAGGTCTGGGAGCATAGCTTCATTAACCCTCTTCTATTCAACCTCCAAATAATCTTTGTCAACTGATAGCTTTTGAGCCAGATCAGCTCGATATTCTTCAGCTACTGAAACTTGCCAAAGTTGATGAGTGAAGTTCCGTTGCTTCAGCTGACGGAAACTGAAGTGATATTCGTACCCGCAAAATGGCATGATCAGAGTCAGGTTGCGTATCCTAGAAGGAACGACAACCACCAGCGGTGATTGATAGCCATCTGAATCCATGACTGTCTTGCGGTCCCCACCTAACCCGATTTGGGTCTTTGTGTTAGGCGATGATCAGCACATAACTGAAATAGTGGGTTCCCATTATTCATGCGGCGAGCATCCATCCCAAACCCACCACCCAACTGTGCCTCCTAACTGTCCAACTTGGGTATTCATTTCACCCACCAGGCTTACTATACCCGTCCTTCTCGCCGACCGAAGCTGTCGAGACAGATCGTGATGAAACTCGTCCTTCTCAGTCTCAGAACGGCGTAAGCCGATACGACAAACACCACTGCTGCATTGCGCTGCATTGCTATTGATTGAGCTGGGCAAGAGCACAGCGTAAAGGATACTATTTACTGGTATCCAGCTCAGCAAGGCACATTCAGATCTGTGGCTGAGTGCAACTCCCACACCGTAGATACCATGAGTCATTGCTTCGGGATCACCATAGGTTGATCACCCCGCAACATTCGATGGGTGATAACGGGGTGTGTGGGGAAGGCCGGCAAGCGGAGAGCTGCAAGGGAAAATGCTAGTTCACGTGTGCCGAAGCCGAAGAAGGGAGGTTGGCTCAGGTACACCACCTTGAGCCTTTGACTCGTTATCACACACAAAATGAGTACTTTCCCTGTTGTTGATCGGTATGATGACACATGTCTTTTTAGAACTCCCATGTAATATCTAATTACATGTAGTGGTTGTCGCAAATTGTACACAAACTTCACTTGTTTGCTTGGTGGAACAGATTACCCACAATTCTATTGAGAGCATCATACTGCATTGCACCGATAAAATACACTCCCCCGCACATCCCATTGGTGCTAAGGAGAGATTCAAGCAAACCTCTCAATTTTGATACTTTCCGCCTGAATGAGCTGCAAAAATGCCGTCTAACGCTCCAATTGTTTCAGCAACCTTATAAGTTGTGTTTCAAGAAGAAAATACACTTCAATATCTCCAAAATTGTGTCAACTGATGGACACTGTGCAAAATAAACAGTTGAGGGACATCACAAACGAGAGATTCAGTTGAGCATTTCGTTGACGTCAAAGATCTAAACTGCTCAAAGATTCCAGGGGAATGACTTCGTGGGGGGATATTTACTGAAGGCCATGTTTCGTTTGATCGTTCGTTCTGATAGTCCTCTGGGAAATGTGTGTGTGGAGTATTTTGCGCATGAGCTCCTGCAACCCGCACAGCCTCATTTGACGCCAACAGAGAACAGGGGGATAAGCTATGCAACCCGTTTGTTTGTTTGTTTGTCCTACACGGTTGGACGAATAATAACTCATCTATAAAAATGTTATACAATCCACACGCCACAATGTGTAACTTACATTTAAAAAACTAGGAGCTGCGAGCATCCATCCCAAACCCACCACCCAACTGTGCCTCCTAACTGTCCAACTTGGGTATTCATTTCACCCACCAGGCTTACTATATCCATCCTTCTCGCCGACCGAAGCTGTCGAGACAGATCGTGATGAAACTCGTCCTTCTCAGTCTCAGAACGGCGTAAGCCGATACGACAAACACCACTGCTGCATTGCGCTGCATTGCTATTGATTGAGCTGGGCAAGAGCACAGCGTAAAGGATACTATTTACTGGTATCCAGCTCAGCAAGGCACATTCAGATCTGTGGCTGAGTGCAACTCCCACACCGTAGATACCATGAGTCATTGCTTCGGGATCACCATAGGTTGATCACCCCGCAACATTCGATGGGTGATAACGGGGTGTGTGGGGAAGGCCGGCAAGCGGAGAGCTGCAAGGGAAAATGCTAGTTCACGTGTGCCGAAGCCGAAGAAGGGAGCTGCAAGAGGAAATAGTTCACGTGTGCCGAAGCCGAAGAAGGGAGGTTGGCTCAGGTACACCACCTTGAGCCTTTGACTCGTTATCACACACAAAATGAGTACTTTCCCTGTTGTTGATCGGTATGATGACACATGTCTTTTTAGAACTCCCATGTAATATCTAATTACATGTAGTGGTTGTCGCAAATTGTACACAAACTTCACTTGTTTGCTTGGTGGAACAGATTACCCACAATTCTATTGAGAGCATCATACTGCATTGCACCGATAAAATACACTCCCCCGCACATCCCATTGGTGCTAAGGAGAGATTCAAGCAAACCTCTCAATTTTGATACTTTCCGCCTGAATGAGCTGCAAAAATGCCGTCTAACGCTCCAATTGTTTCAGCAACCTTATAAGTTGTGTTTCAAGAAGAAAATACACTTCAATATCTCCAAAATTGTGTCAACTGATGGACACTGTGCAAAATAAACAGTTGAGGGACATCACAAACGAGAGATTCAGTTGAGCATTTCGTTGACGTCAAAGATCTAAACTGCTCAAAGATTCCAGGGGAATGACTTCGTGGGGGGATATTTACTGAAGGCCATGTTTCGTTTGATCGTTCGTTCTGATGGTCCTCTGGGAAATGTGTGTGTGGAGTATTTTGCGCATGAGCTCCTGCAACCCGCACAGCCTCATTTGACGCCAACAGAGAACAGGGGGATAAGCTATGCAACCCGTTTGTTTGTTTGTTTGTCCTACACGGTTGGACGAATAATAACTCATCTATAAAAATGTTATACAATCCACACTCCACAATGTGTAACTTACATTTAAAAAACTAGGAGCTGCCCCAAATGAAAATCGCAAAGGCATGAGTGCTCCAAGCAGGGATGCAAAAATATGTGCTCATCAAATTTGGAAATAGCTTAGATGTGTGACCCCATCAGTCGTATCATGCAACTGAAAAACTAGGTCAGTTTATTCCGAATATAATTAGAAATCAAAAGAAGTTAGATTGATAGACACCGGCGAGAACTGTATAGTCGAATGGAACTGAGTAATTTTGGAATGGTTACAGTATACACGTGGCTCACGGCCAAGATCCATTTAAAACAACTTTACAGGCGTTCAACCGATTTAATACAACAAAAAACTGCATGGATTTATAGGCTGTTGATTAGTTGAAAAATCAGCTGTTGCTCCACTGAAACTGCGACATTTTCCGGCAGACCGACCTACGTGTTATACGTGAAGGACTAAAGTCTGTAAATC